TGAATGGAGAAAATGTGTACTTTAGGGGTAAAATTGAGAAACTTTATCTTTTTAATGGTAATTTGGAATGAGAAACCTTCGTGACACTTCTTCGTAAGCAACGGTGTATATAAAACAGGAATTAATGGACAGGGGGTGAGGGCTGCATCCATATGCACATTTTGTACCAAAAAAAAAAAGAAAAAAAAAGGGACATTGAAAACAATTGTACCGTTGCGTACGTAGAAACAAATAAATTACCTCCATTATTGATACATCCAATGTAAACAAAGGAATACGTATGACACCAAAAGTCAATGGAACAATAGTCAGTGAAGAATTCTTTTACCAAAATAAGATTTCATGAAGTATCAACTAATCACAGTGGGAGGGAGGGAAGGATTTAGGAACCACACAAGGCAAGGGGGGAAGGAATTAAAAAGGCTTTTGATTTCTAAGTAGTATATAATTGTGCATTTTATTTTAATTACCTGATACATGTTAAGTGGCTTGCCACAGCCTAATATTTGGCCTGAAGACTTCGCTCTCTAAATCAATATGAAAACATAAATACTCATGATCTAATCAAACAGAAAAAAAGGTAAGCATAATATTCAACCAAATGTTTCTCTTGGGCAATTTTCAGCCCAAATAATTGTTAGTTGGAAAAAAAAAAAGCTCAAATGCTTGGACCAGAAGTATATGCTAGTGCTACTCAAGGAGAAAATTCATCCTAATCCGTACATAATTTAGACTAGAAGAAATGGAGCACCCTTTCCCCCTACGTCGCCCTTTCCTTGTCAGATACACAACCATTGTCACCCACTAGCCTATATGAACGTTTGAAACAAAAAATGAAAGATAAAAGATGAGCACAGGACAAATCTTCAAAGGCTTGTCACCATATTGGCGACAGCATCCTCATAGAACTTACCTAGAGCCAAAAATGAAATTTATTCATGAGGTTCTCTACTAGACTAGAATCTTGCCTGAAATTTCTGAGCAAGCCACAATAAAAACTTACAAGGAACACAGAATAAATGCAATCAGCCAAATAGGGGTTACACAGGGCTGGCTGGACTCCCCAGTGAACTAGTTCAAAGTTTCTAAACAGTAAAGAACAGCAATGCCAAATTTCAGAACCCCTTATTCTCGGCACTAACTACTCAAGAAAAGAATAACACTAAGGAAACTTACATGAATAGTACACCTGAACGGAATTATCTGTTATGATTTATAGTTGCATGTTCCATAGAATCCAAAGTTCCCTCAAATGAAAAATGATTCTAAAATTTGGTTTAAAGCTGAAAGGATTTCACTTACAAACAACAAAACACAAAAGTTCAAAAGAAAAATAGATGTTTTTCAAATGAGAAAAAGTGACTAACTTGCAAACATGATTTACCAATGTATCAGTGACTTTCAAATATCAAGCCATGTTAGAATTCCTGTTTATGTTCTGGGATTTGCTGAATACCCGATAATACCATCATCTGTCCCATTAGCTAGAGACTTATATATAAGGAATCCAAAATCTCCAACTTTGGCTTTTGCATTCTCGTAGAAACCCTATACCTTGAAATCGGCATCCAATATTGAGAGCCAACAACCTGAAACTTACAGCAGATTGGAGCAGAAACACCATGACTATAGAGCTGAGGTTATAATGCCAAATAAAACATAAATGTATCACTGCAGCCATTGAAAGGTTGGGCGCTTGACCAGGAGAGCCATGAGAAACACACATTGTCAAAATCATGGTAGGAGTATCTTTCATCAAAGAGAGGCATGAGGGGTGCTATCTCATGAACAGGAAATTTATCCCTTCAAGCTATAACAAAAGGAAACAGTTAATGATGGATCTCAAATGAAAACAAGCATATAGAGATTTTTTAGGAGCAAAATAATGAGGTACTGATTGTTGCTTTTTCCAGGAGGTATGCACTGGCTGACAACTCCAAAAGTAACAAGACTCATCTTCTTCCGAGGTCCTTGACAAAATAACAAAACATAAAGTTAAAATACTTATTCTAAGACAAATGAATTAAACAGGATAAATTCACACCATACCATAAATATTAGGGCTTTCCCTCTCTGGCAAGACAAAGAATGAATTGAGGAAGGTGTTCAAACTAAGACTTAATAAAAAGCACATACATCCTTTCCACTCTTGCAACAGGCATAGCTATTCTAAAATAAAGATATCCTCCATTAACATCTGTGGGCGTTGAAAATGCTACATTGACATTTTTTTAGATGAATATATGTAAGATAAGCTGAGTCTAGCATAGCATTCAACTTAGGATGCCCCTAGTTCTTCCACTGTAGATAAGCTCACTTGATATATAATTTGTATCCTAGTGGATAGAGAAGTTTACAACAATCCAAGTTTCTATTTTTCCTGGTTCTATAAAGGTCTGCAGGATGTAACGAGAACACCATAAGATAATAGATCAACAAATCCAGCATTAGTCCATAGGGGAAAATTTTTGAGGCTAATCTAACAGTTTATAACATGCAAACGCAAATTAAAGAAAATCTTTCAAAATAACACCTTGCTAAAGCAGGTTCCACCATCCACTATGAGGTATGCAGTCCGCATTTTCACCAATCTTCAACTGTTAACATAAGATAATATTCATCTAAATCTCAGAAGTAATGAGCTTGAAAGGGGAAGAAAAATGCAATATGTACCTTGGGGATCCAAAGGACACAACCAGTAATAGTGTCAGCTACTTTGGAGATTAAAAAAGGAAATCCTTTTATCCTCCACAAAACAACTTCTAAAATCTATCCAATAGAAGAAATTGTTTTGCAAAATGGAGATCATCTGTCCCTAAGTATTCACTTCTCGTGTATGCATTACAGCTATTATTTTCAATAAATCATTATCTGTGAATCCAACAACACATTAAGAGTCAGAAACTTCACAGGGAGAAATGATGAAAGCAATCATAACATGGAAAATTTGATGGAGAGCATGTAAAAAGTAGACCCAACCAAAACTCATTCCAAAATTAAAATATAAAAGCATAGAGGTTATTACACTGATAGATGAGAATAAAGCAGTAAGAGATACAGATAAAGCACACTCCGAAATAAAGTTACTTGAAAACAACAATTGTTAAAGTGATATTATATATGCCACCTCAATTTTGTGGTACCTTGTGGTTTTATATTCAAGTTGGGCATCTCCACCTTTTTATTTGGCAAACTCTCAGGGACCAGGTTCATTGTTGCTTATGTGTCTCGTTCAACCCCTACATAAGCAATGGTGCTTCTTCAAACAAATCAGAAGATGCAAGCAATTACTCTAATGGATGACCTTGTTGCTTTGGCATTTTCTTTGATCCAGGATCTTCAACATCCGTCATCTGGTAATAATGAGGAGCAATTTCCACCAACCACTCAGGTTTCAGCTCAGTAACTGTTCTCATGTACTCTTTGGTTGTAAGAACCAATTCATGGTATACAATCCATCTTGGCAGCACCTGAACCAACCCAGAGGTCGGATGTATGTAAACAGTCTGTGGATGCTTCACTGTTTGGTAGAAACCATTTTTCTGCAGCCTTGCTGAATGAGGAAAAAATCCAGATGTAATGGCCTTCTTTATAGCATCTAAATCATTTGGATTGGATGTTAGTTCAATTTCAACTCTCTCCAAAAGCCCCTCCAATTGATCTCTGATGTCTCTGGCACGTTTCATACTCCGGACCTGAATATAATTTTCATGACACCACTGTTCTGAGTAATTTGTCTCCCTCCAAAAATTGTAAATGTTAAGCAAGGCAATGTGATCCCCAACATTTCCCAAATGAAATCTCATCTTTGCAATATCAGCATGAAGTTGTTTATCCTTTGGACGATAGAAAATTGAATTCCCAACAGAAAGCATTGCAGCAATTGAAATGATCTCATCTGAGCATTTGAACTTTTCAGAAACAATTATCATTTTGGATAGCATGGGATCAAGAGGGAACTCTGCCATTCTTCTGCCAACTTTAGTTAACTCCCCAAGTTTATTTAGTGCACTCAATGCAAAGAGAAGTTCCAGTGCCTTCCGTAGTGCTTCAGCTGGTGGTGGGTCCATAAAATCAAAATGCAGCAAGTCATTTATTCCAAGACTCTTCAAAGCAAGGACAACGTTAGCAACTTTAGTCCGTTGTATTTCTGGAGATGTATTATCATCCATCTCCGTGCAATAACTGTGTGCAGTATACAACCGGAAACACTTTCCTGGACCTGTACGTCCAGATCGACCAGCACGTTGATTGGCTGAAGCTTTAGAGATTGGGGTTACCAGTAAAGACTCCATCCCAGTTCTTGGGTTACATGATTTCATCTTGCAAAAACCTGTATCAATTACATACTTAATCCCATCAATGGTTACTGAGGTTTCTGCAATATTTGTGGCCAGGACAACCTTACGTGCACCTTCAGGGGTTGGCTCAAATATTTTAGCTTGACGTTCAGTTGGAAGGTTGGCATATATAGGGCAGATTATAAGTTCAGCTATTTTCGTCCCCAAATCTTTTGCCCTATGCTTCAAAATTCCTTCTGCTGTCTCAATTTCTTCCTGACCAGTGAGGAAAACCAAAATATCTCCTGGAGGTTGTGACACATGTATTTGGAGCACAGTGACAATGGCAGCATCCAAGTAATTGGCTTCTGGCGCTTTGGTGTAATGTATCTCAACAGGATACCTCCTGCCAGGAATCTTGAAAATCGGAGCTTTATCAAAGAAATCACTGAATTTCTCTGCATCAAGTGTAGCACTTGAGATGAGTAGCTTGAGATCCTTTCTATACCGTGCTATATCCTTCACCAATCCAAAAAGAATGTCAGTGGACACAGTTCTTTCATGAGCCTCATCCACCATCACCACACTGTAGCTTGCAAGATCTGGCTCACCAAGCAATTCCCGCAGCAACATTCCATCTGTCATATATTTCAGGACAGTTTTTTCCGAGGTGCAATCTTCAAAACGGATGGAATAACCAACCTCATGTCCAAGTTTGGTACCCATTTCTTGAGAAACTCGTGCAGCAACACTCATAGCAGCAACTCTCCGAGGCTGTGTACAGGCAACCTTTCCACATTTGGTGTAGCCAGCTTCATGAAGATACTGAGGTATCTGTGTGGTCTTTCCAGAACCGGTTTCTCCCACAATAATAAGAACCTGATGATCATTAACAGCTTGGAGTAGCCCATCTCGATAACAGTAAACAGGTAAAAATTTTCTTCCCTCTTGTAGTTTCTCAAAAGCTGATTTTGCCATGCACTTTTGAGTTGACTCCATTGTCATCTTGTCATCAAAATTATCCCCATCCATCACTGATTGCTTGACAAACTCAATCTGATCATCAAATACAAACTGAAAATCATCAGCTGTTTGCATTCTATTTTTTGAACCAAAATTGAAAGTTGCCTTACCAATTTGATGCTCCTCCCACGCCTCCTGTTCTGCAAATGGATCCACTTTGTGTCCTGCATTCTGTTCCCGGACACGCTTCAAAGCCACAGCAAATCTCTTCTCCTGATCAACACCCCCTTGCTGATCATATGCTTCTGGCATCCTGTACAAATTTGAATTCTCATCCTCTTCTGACCCCTTCTTCAAAAGCTCATACATTTCCCTCTTATACCTTTGCTCACGAGATTCTGCTTCAGTAAGTTTTACTCCATGAAAAAGGTATTGCTCGTCTTCTATACCATCCCTGAGTTCCTCCAGCTTCATTTGCACCCTTTTCTTCAGGTATTCACGTCTTGAAGCTTCTCTTAAACTTCCAATATCATTCTGCTCCTGAGCATTGGATCTCCGAATTGCCTCTTCTTTTTCTTTCCGCGTTAACTTTGGCTCCATCAGCTTCCTAGTACCCGCTTTATATTTCTCTCTTATATGCCTTTCTAATTCCTCCTTCTCCCTTTGATCCCTCAGTCTTTCTCTTTCTTCTTCTGACTCTGAGCCATCATCCTCATCACAGGAAATCTTTCTCCTTTTAACTCTTCCCTTCTCTTCTACTTTGAAACTCATCTCATCATCTTGATCATCTTCTCCGCTTTCAACCTTCTTTCTGAATCCTTTTTTATGTCGACTGCCCCCCTTTCCTGTCACAGAATCGATCTCAGCCCCAGGCCCAGCCCCAATATCTTCATCATCAGCAGCATCTAAAATTGGGTAATTCCTCTGCCTCCTCGCCAACATAACCGCTTCAATTTCTTGCAGATTTTCATTTGCAGAGGCTGTACAAGGAAATCTGATACAGATTTCTTCAGCAAACGTACGAGTTTCATCCGAGGACGGAAACCCACATTCCTCTAGCTTCACCAGCACCTCCGCAGCCGATCTTGCTTGCTTAGCTAATGCAACAATATACTGCGCAATTACGGGCTGATAATATCCCAGAAGCGAAATCAGCCTGTCGGATATCCACGCCTTCCAATTGCTATCGATCGCCATGTTTACTGAATTCCTCAAAAA